AGATGTGTATAAGAGACCACTCTCGCACGTTCCAGAAATCCATTCACCAAAACTCCTTGACCAATCAAATCAGTTTCCAACTAGGACTGCCTCCATAAAATTCAAGGAAGGACTTCTAACTTTATAAGCTTTTTGAAGAATTTGAGTGTTTTTCCTCGCTGTTTACGTCTCAATGGCTCACCGCGTACAAACTCATCTTCTTTCTAGGTTTCACTAAAATTACCTTTATTTTCGTTAAGTCTTAGAGTGCCGTTCCCGGTCATCTAGAGGTGTTTAAAACAAACCCCAGTTTGCCAAATTCCAGTTTGCTAATTCAAAAATCATGATACCCACTTTGCCGAAACCCAGTTTGCCGAAAATCAGTTTGGCGAATGTTGACTCAGTGTTCTAAATCAGTTTATCTACTAGTCTACCTGTAAAAGAACAGGGAAAAAGCAGCTTGGTTGGTAAACGTGATGGGCGGTTCGAGCGGAGCCGTATGCCTATCGGATGCTTACCCAAGTTTCAACAAAATATATTATTCTGTTTACTAGAAAAATTGATAGTTTGTGTCATAATTCTCATCACTATCGACGATACAGCTGCCGTGTTTTAGTGTCGGTTTCAGAAATTTCAACGTTAACAAAGAACCAATCTAAGTGACTAAAACTGACATGGTTTATCCGTGACTATAGCCATCATAGACCGCGAAAAATGTTTGTACATGCTTGATCGTTATTAAAAAATTTAAATTAATTTTGGCGCTAGCATTTACTTAATTGATACATCATATTTCTATACTTTAGTGTGAAATATATATATGTATCAATAGCTGTTAAATATATAGTATGATTAAAGCCTAATTAGGCTATTTTAATATGCGCCTTATTAAATGTGTTGTAAATTTATTTAGCTAATATAATATTACATCGTGTGTATTGACATTTGGCACACTGGATTTCGACCAAGTAGGATTCGGAAAACTGGGTTTAACAACGTTTAAGTCGGCAATTCAACATCCGGCAAATTGGGTTTTGGCAAAGTGGAGTCGGCAATCTGGCCAGATCCTCAACAGTATACCTGTAAGTCGATGGACTTATTTTCGAAACTTGCATAGTATTTGATGAAATCTACTAACATATTATAGATAGGCTTACTGTGTGCCAATTAAATAAAATAAATACTGTAGATAAAAACAATTTTCATTAGAGTTAATAAAACATATACCTCCTAGCTACTTTCATACCAAAATCATAAGTTAGTTGTCAAAACGTCAGACGAAGAAAGCTTGGATGACTCGCAAAATTTGTGTTTTTGAAGAAAAGTTAAATATATTTTTAATAGAAACAGCTAATAGAAATAATATACGTATTCTGAGTACTATGACACCAAATCCAACTCTTCTGCACATATGCTTATAGACTT